GTGGCTTTAGATGTATGTAGATGTGATGTTGACTACTATCCTGCATACCATACGATCACATGGTTGTATAAATGCGACGGATTCATCGTGCAATTGCACACTGCATACCGGATCTATTAAAATGACGGTTGCTAAGAATCTTGCCTTTTTCTCATATTGATCTTTGTTTAGTTATATTCACCGTAATGGCCTCGCCTATTCGGCTGACTTGCCATATGTAGCCCATCGACAAAACACTTGCAGTATCACTGGTAACACTACTAAGATACAGGTAAACAACCATAAGGAGGTGTCTGGTAATTTCATAAACATCTGGCTACCCAGGTCGCCTACTTCTTGCATCCCGATGAACAATCCATGATTGATTGGCTGGTTGGATTTGGACCGGTGAACATTGGTATTGCAGTAACTCCGGACATGAAACCCTACAAAGGAGGGGTTTTCAGACCCAGTGCTGAAGACTGCAAGAATAAGGTTTGGATTAGTTCCACTGCGATAAATGTACAAGTATGATCGATATATCTAGGTTGTTGGACTTCACTCACTCCTGATTACCGGATATGGAACGAATGACGCAGGCGAGAAGTATTGGATTGTGAAAAATAGTTGGGGAAATACTTGGGGAGTCGAACATGGATATGTCTACTTTGCTAGGGGTATCAATGCATGTGGAATTGAGGACGAACCTATAGGAGTTTTGGCCTGAAACAGAAAAATTATATTTTGAATATAGATGTAAGCGTGTTGGTTATGTACTTGTTATTCATGTTGAATAAAACTGTTAATTTATGGAAAATAAAAGAAATTGTTCAGTATATCGCTCTTAGCAAATAGAATTTCAAAAGAAGTACTGGTGTGAGGCTTCACAATCCATTGCGGTAAGCATTATAGAAATGGGATCTACAAGTTAAGCAATCAAATTTCATTGAATTTTTTTGTAGAATATTGATTTTGACCCACTCTTGCGCTTAAATGGCAAATGTATAAAACGAGGAGCTCGAAAGCTTTTTTGCTTGAGAATTGCAGAATTTGGACGCCTTGCAAGTAGTAAAAACTGCTCCTCTTTCGTATATAACATGAAAAATGAGAAAAATTTTCTGATCTAATTGGGGTAAACCCGCCGGTTTATGATATAGCTGACCTTGGACTATCTTCATTTCAGATACCAAATTTCAATCTGGTATATAGATGTCTGGTATTCAAGTCAATCGTTATAATTCCCTTTTTACCCATTTTGAATAAGGGTAGGACTTACTTTATGACTCGCCCCTAGCAAAGCCTATGTATTCACTGCCGCATGACAATGAACAGTCCCATCTGACACATCGACTGACTTTAGCAACAAAGGAGCGCACTTACTCGTATTTTGTATTGAATCTTGCGCAAATTACACCAAGGGTGGTAGTA